TTCCTTCCTTCCTTCCTTCCTTCCTTCCTTCCTTCCTTCCTTCCAAATTTCAGCTTCATTTCTGTTCTGAATAAAAAAAAAATCTATAAGTTTGTTTAAAAAGAATATATTTAGTGTTATTTCATGCTTTAATATCAATTAGATAAAATAAATCCTCAAAAGTCTAGACTTACACATTGATTTCTGTTCTGATGGCATACTGTAACTTGGATCATAAGCTCAGCGTTTAAACATTTCTCTGACATTTCTCTGCTTTTATGGTCGAATTTTAGATACTAATTAAATCAATAAACCTCATGATTTATTCTAACAGTTATTGAAAACTAAAAGCATCACAGTTCTGAAGCTGAAAGTGTTTAGTTGAATCGTAACATGATCCAATCTAGACTTGAGCGGTCCAATAGATTTTTGAATAGAGCAGATCTACTTTGTTAGAATCACAAGTCATATTCACCTTTCTATTATTTTGTGTTTTATAAAGCAGATTTTTTGTACTCCAAACATTATAGAAACTGCAGGATAAATCTGAAAATATCATTAATAGAGTATGGAGCCCGGGAAGTGGGTGGATGAAAAAGAACAAAGCATTTGAACTTTCTTTTCATGCTTTACCAAGATTTTTTGGGCTTTTGTTTTTATTCACTTTTTCCTCCCCTGACACGTCCCAGGCTTTGTAGAAGAGGGTTTGTTTTGAAGAGCCCTGAATTAAAAAAAGTCCAGTTGGAAAAACGATTTCAACCTGAAACAAAGTGCATATCTTTGCATACTTATTCAGTACTGTACATACAAGATCAATCAGACTTTTATTTGTTAATGAATCATGGTTATTTAAGGATCATCTGGTGCTTTTGAATTCTGCATCTGTTTTACAACTTAAAAGTAATTTTTTTTTTTTTATCTTCTCCAGGCCAGTGTGCGCCCAGTGTTCAAAAAAGGTAGGACGTCATTGTTAGAAATATTCTCTCACATGTAAAGCTCAACATATACTGCATATACAGCATGAAAGGTTTTTATTACTGACTTTTTAAGTATTTTATTTATTTTTTCCAACTCCAGATCCGGCTGCCGTCTAAGCCCTATTCCACTCTGCCCATCTATTCTCTGGGTCCCAGTGCAGTTTCTAAAGATAATGCTCGTGCAGGTCCGGCGCCACCTGAGCAGGAGAAACATGCGTTCGGATATGGCAGACACAGTCTACGGCGAAGGTTTTAGCTGAACGATTTCAAAATTCATTACAAGTCTGCTGTGCATATCCTCACCTTCCTCTCTGTTCGCAGGTTGTCGAAGCACAGCAGCAGAGAAGGTCAGTCGATAGATGACCTGGAGCTTCCTAAAGAGCTGACGGAGGATTGGGTCAGCATGGAGGTCTGCGTGGACTGCAAAAAGTTCATCACTGAGATAATCACCTCTAGCAAGCGCAGCCTGTGTGTGGCGTCGAAAAGGGCCCGCCTGAACCGCAAAACCCAGTCTTTCTACATGGCGTCCTCTAAGTCCATCAACTTCCAGCCCGGGGAGCGCCCCATTAATGAAGTATAGGACGTATTAAATTGCACTTTAATCCAAGTTTTTCCCAGGTTTTGGACATTTATTAATTAAATAAATAAAAAAAATCTAAATTTGACACTCCTACCAAAATATAAAGAGGTTGCCGTGCAAATGTGGAAGTAGTTTCCCTCTCAGGAAATGTTGCAGTCATTAAATTAGCTGTGATGCTAATGAATATGTGGAAACCAACCCCATGCCCATGCTGGGCCTGTTTCTCCCCCTAAGGTTAGAGTCCATGACTCAAGTTTGGGATGAAATGATGCAGAAAGCCAAAAGTTGTTGCGATGTGGTGCAAGTATTGCAGAAGCCCAATCATTATCAGCTGTCAATAAGCTTTCCCAGTTCCCCGTTTACTTCTTGCACTCAGGAAGATTAACCGACAGAAATGCACTGTACAGTCTCCTGTCTGGTCTGCTGGGGCAGATCCTAGCCTGCCTCTCATCCTTCCAGCAGCATTTTTTTAAAAATGTATTTTTATTTTTTTTTTGCCAAAAGTTTCACCTTCGTAGCCACAAATCAAATGAGATTTTGCTTTTATTCATCTAACCGAGGGACTCAGATGGCCTGTATGTTTCAGGGTGTATTTTTCAACATTTTTTTCGCCTATTTAAGCTAAATGTATATTCTGTGCAAGGTGCCAAATGTAATTTCTCTGAATGCCTTTAGATCTACTGTATATAGTTATAAACCAAATGAGGGTTATTTTTAGTTTCTCCTCCCCTTTGCTCTAAAACGGGCAGCAGACACATACATGTAGGGTTTAAGGATGTGTATAGGTTGTATATTGTTGCAAGATCAAATTTAATATAAACATTTACAGTTGAAGAGATGATTTTTCTATATTCAAGATTTCACCCTCTACATATGCTTTATTTAAAGCTGTGGGCTTTTGTTAGTATTTAATGTTCTGTAATAAGGTTTTATTTTTGCAGGGTTTATAAAATCCTGTGTTTTATGCGCCTGACAAAATTTCATCTAACACTTTATTTGGAGGAAAGAATCATATATTTAAATAGTAAAAAAAAAGAGTGCCATTTTTAAGAGGGTCGACTTAGAAGGCAATAATTGTTTCTACAGCAAAGCATCAAGGACCGAAAAACAAAAATTGAATGTAGAAGTTTTAAGATTTTAAGAAATGACTCCTCAACAGTTTTGCACACTTATATCACTTAATAGACACAAAGATAAACCAGCCTGCTTAGGAAAAAACATTGCCATGTAAAAAAAAAAGGCCCAGATGCAATCCATAAGTCCAGTTTTATTTTTGAACTTTGTAAAGAATGTGTGCATGCTGTACTGAGAATCGTTGTTTTTATCAGAGAAGGTATAATAAAGTCATCATGTTTCTTACATTTGACTCAGTCTTTCTGTTGAATGATTCATTTTTTCCTCAAATGTTATTCAAATGGTCCTCTGATTTACTGGTGCCGCACCAATTCACTGCTGAAGACGCTGAACAGATGAGCTATATGTATTTATTTATTTATTTTTTTCTATTTCATGAACCTAAAAGTGCCATAATACAATAAATCAATTATTACTACATGAATATGAAAGTAAAAATTAAACCGGAAACATAAACAATTCACAACTAAATAAAGGAAATATTTATATGTTAAAATGGTTATGTTAAAATCACACATAACATTCGCTTTAGCAATTTTCTGTATATCTAAGCGCTAAAATATCACAATTGAATAAGTCTATTTATATAAAAAAGTGATTATTTGAGAACAATCTGATTTGAATGAATCATGCTCTTTGAATAGTTAAATGTTTATATCAATGATTGAATTACATAATATGTCAAAGTCGTGATTGCCTTGGTATTTCTATAATTAAATAAGTATTAAAGACAAAGTATTTTTACATTTTTTAAATAATGAACTGGTTAATCAGTGACACCAGCAGAACTATTCTTAATTCTTTTTATTTTACAGCTAATGGTTTACCAATATTTATTTATTTGTGGATTTATTTATTTATGCATTAATTATTTATGCATCAAAATAATTCTTTTTTATTTACAGTTGATTTGTTTTCAAAATGTTCACATTTTTGTCACCTACCTTGCATTACACATGTAAAGACAGCAGAGGGCGATAGAGGGCCAATTAAAAATCCGTCTTATTAAAATTGTGTTACAGACGGTTTTAAATGAATCTGGTTCACGTTATTCTAAAACATGGAGCAATAGCAGCTTCACTTCAGTATATTTATTTTGTTTCTGTGTGATACACCAACAGAAATTAGAGCACATTTGTTTTGTAAAAATTCAACATTGGATTGTCATTTGTTTAAAAAAAACAACAACAAAAAGGCAAAGTGAGATTTGTGCACATTTGCATTGAAGATCCTGTGTCTACACTTCTAAATCTACTGCCAAAATTTCACCACTGTGGGACAATAAAGGTAATAATTACAGATCTTCTAGCTGCAGGTCTTTTAGGATATATGCTCAACAACTAAGAAATGTTTGCTCATTCTAGCTTAAAAAATGATTCAGCCTCAGCCATGTTGCTCCTGGAAGGAGGTTTTGTTCATATTTAGGTTTTTTAGTTATTGCTTATTATTTCATGAAAGTCAATGGCTGTCATTTTCATTTCTACATCCACTTTTGTTTATTTGAACCAGATTAAAGAGGAGTAAATACACTTGTACATCTATGTACTTGTCTTTTGTAATAGGACACCGGATCTTTCCCAGATCTATTTTTCCATGAAGGAACAGTGTTAAAGAAAACATTAAAACATCTAAGAATCCAAAATGGGCAATAAGACAACACTATAATCTTCTTGTATGTATTTTTTAGGCTCTGCAACCTTTTTCTAATACCCTATTTGCTATAAATACAGTTCTTTGAATTGCTTAGTTTCAGAATTTGTAGAACATCTCTTGTAGTCTTATATTATATTATATTATATTATATTATATTATATTATATTTTCAGAGCTTGAAAACTTATGTTGATAACTTATGAGAAAGATCTTTTGACAACAAAGTAATATACTTTTTTTATATCATAGGCCTACAGTAAAAAAAACCCAACTAAATTATGACACATTAAGGTATAAAGCGGTGCTTAATAATTACAGGAAGAGTTCAATTCCTCTTTGGTTCCTCTTAATAGTTATAAGGTGTGTCATAATACTAAATGAAAACTATCCCTGGTAACACCGACTCTGAAAATAAACTGGCCGGCCCAGCCATCCCCCTTTTGCAGGGTGACCCTCAAATGCTGGAATCAATTGAAAGGCAACAGGCAGTCATTAAAACGTCCTAAATGGGTTGTGTATTTAGCAGCGGCTCAGTGGTGCTGATCCTGCACGCTGCTCTGGGTGACTGAGTCAGACATAAGACATCCGGCGGACCATCACGTGTCTGTTTAGGTGATTTTGTTTATCGTGCTTGTCATTCTGAAGAGTTTGCTCAATCAAGTATAATGGTTGCCTCTAATGTGCTTATAGAGACACAGAGAAGAGGCTTTAAGGAGACATAAGTAAACTCATATTTGAATTATTTCACTCAGAATTAGTGTTTTTGGGCCACTTTCAAATGCAAATGGTCATGAATAAAAATGCAAAACATGCTTCTTCTTTCTACCAGGCAAACAGAGTCTCTCAGGGCGTAACTGGATACGTTGCTTGCAAGTGGGGCTACTCATACCAAACGCATAGTATGATAAGAATGCAAGCCATCAGGTCAAAAGGCGACATGTCAGTCACATTATATCATAAAGTTGTTCATTCACTACATTTCCTAAAGATCTGCAGATAAAAATAATGCTACATATTGGCTGACGGACATCGCACTGCTTTTTAATGGTGGCATGCAGAGCAAAAGGTTTTACCTGATAGTCATTGAAAAGTGCTCCTTTATATTAGCAGAGGAGGGTAGTAACTAGTTACAGTTGCTCAGTTACATATACTGGAGTAAATAAAAAAACAAAAAACAGAATAGTTTTACTTTACATTGCCACTATTTTTTATTTTACTTGAGTATTATCTTTTTACGTATCCCTACTCTTACTTAAGAAAACATTCTGACTACCCATCATGATTTCACTGAATAACTAAAAAAATTTACTTTGAACAAAACTGCCCCAAACATACACCCACCATTTATATTAAAGTGATATAATTAAATTTTACTTGATACAAGTTTATTGTTTTAACTTTACTTTTATCTATTAAGCCTCCTGTTTCATTTGCACATCAACATTGGTATTGGAAGTACCCTAATCTGCTCTAACATGTATAGCTACTGTAAGTATTGGTTTAAAAGGCCTAATATGATGACAAATAACCCTATAATATTGTTGTGTAATAATGTTATGTTTCTATTTTTAATTTCATTCTTTAAAACATTAGAATTTTTACAGAACTTTATGGTTACTTTATGTCTGTCTAATAGTAAATGTCAAAAATATCATATTAAAATTTTAACTGAATCTGTGCTTAAGTAGCTCATTTACCAAACATGTTTTAACCCTTATTTGAGTACCATTTCTATTCATTATCTACCCACATTTGGATATGAAGGAGATAATTACAAAGCCAGCCATGAGCAAAGAAGGGGGATGACTGCTGGAGGACATACGAACCACTTTTTCATTTATCTGCTTCATTCTCTCTCGATTCTCCCAGTCTGCAGAATGTTTTAGCTCAATCTCTAACATTATGCTATCTTTGGTTTTTCTCATAGTAGCCTCATCTGGTCTGTTCCTGATTGGCTTTGAAACCATCCTGGAGAGAAATATCAGCTGTGCTGCTGCCATCAACACCTTTGTTTCTAGATGTTGGAGCTTGGCCTGTTTTACAGTTTAGTCCTGCTTCTCTGACTGTAACTAACTATATGTGCTCTCCTTCATCCTCTGACATGGGAGTTGGCTCGGAGCTCGTCTGCCTAGCTGTGTATTTCTACTTCTTTCTGTAAATCTGAGATTGCTGAAGATAAGCAACAGCCCCTCATTATCCTGATGGATAGGCATCAGATCATTGTTGGTGGCATTTTCCTCTTTAAAATACTATAAAAAAATCAGGTAGATGGAGAGGCAAATCATTGGAAAGCACCATTGATTTATTATTTTCCACCAACTTACTGGAAGAGTACAGCACTGGTTTTGTTTCCTAAGAGTTCACTTCAAACCAGACTGGCTGACTTAAGAAGGCTCAACGATCTTAAAAAGAGACACATCATGCTTTGATCTAAATAGACAATTGTGACCCCCTTTAGTGGCTAAACCCTTTGGCGCAACTGGGTTAAATTTACACACTAGTGATTTAATCAATCAGTCTTCACTGATCATCACAATTGAGATTGTTAGTACAACAAAAATCTTAAAACAGGTTTAAGTGTTGCTTCAATGTCCAGACAATTGACAAGAAGTCTTATCATTCTCCTATATCCTACAATGTGCCTGTATTAAAAAAATTCTGCTTAGAAAAGTAGTCTAAAATCCCTCCACAGTCATTCAGTGGCACCATTAGCAGTGAACTAATAATATAATGTCTTAATATTTAGGCTCTCAGACCTGAATAAACAGATATTGTGCAAATTGCCTGAAGAGTTAAGTAGTTGATGACACATTGTTTTAAAAAGTGCTAGTGACAATAATGCATATGTTGGAATTATAAAAATGGTCTGGCTCTAAATGAAAGGAATAGGGTTTTAGAATCATGATGCAAATGCTGGATATCTCTGTAACACGTCTTCCACCCTGGTCTGTAGAAAACAGGTCAATGCATCACCCTGAGGCACTTCAAACACAGCATTGTCACATGTTCTTACATCAACATACTCCAGTGGCAAAAACATTTTCATCGTCTAATAACACTTAGGTATATGCACAGTATAATCAATAACCCCTAAACTACCAAGATCTTTTTTACCCAAAACTCTGTTTGTTGTAAAACTCTTTTACCCTACTTGTTTGTGTAGGACCAAAAGCCTTCAGTTTTACTGTGCATCAAAACAAGTCTTCTTCGATCTTCCTGAGAAATAAATATAAGCCCATTCATGAATAGGTAAACATTTGCCAAGTTTAATTTATTTTAAGAAACTTTCAACCTTTACAACATCTTATAGGAGCCTTGCAAAAGATTGTTTTCTTTCATGTCTTTAGGAGCTTGATAAGAAGGAATGTATTATTCACTATACAAAGTGCAAATAGCATTAGTTTGCAAAACCAAGCTCAGAGATTAACCATTTTTTCCTGGTTTAATTATTAAAAAGTGGAAATTATAGCTGCCACATAAAGACATTTCTTTTGTATGAATGTCTAGGATGTAATGTAAATACTTATCATCGAATGTAAATGCACAGATATTTTCCAGTGTGTGCAAAGCAACTTCTCTTTGCATCTCCAGTTCAACCATAGGTGCCCCGGCAATGCCATTGCCAACTGGTTTCACTTTGGTTTAGATCGGCATTAGCTGATCATTTCCAGCAGAGATTGAGCTCCTCTGAGCAAAGCTGTCAGTCTGAAACGCTGGCCAAAAATGATATCATACTAAAGGAGAGGTTTTGTTCATGGTGGGTTAGGTCTGTTGGAAACGCATACCAGTGGCAGAGACCCATGGTCAAAAAGCTTGTATGGTAGTGAACCTTTTGAAGTCCAAATGTCCGTTTTTGGGTCATAGCACTCGAAGCAATCAGAGTCCTCGATGACATCGTGGCCATTGAGAATGCGTCCCCCTGTGACGTATAGCTTGCTATTGATGACTGTAGCGCTGTGGTGCATCCTGCGCTCCTTCAGATTGGCACACTTAAAAAATTTATTGGCTTTAGTGTCATAAGCAATCATTCTCCTTGTATACCCTGAAAGAAAGCAGAATTTTTACCGATAAACATAACTGACACAATAAGGTTAAATTCTACAATCTTTATATTTTCAAACAACAAACTGCTGCATCACTCATCTTGTTACAGAGCAAAAAATTGAAGTCCTTTTTCCTTACATTCCCTAAATTTAAAATAAGAAAAAAAAAAACAATTGTATTGTCTTATTTCAAGTGCATATTATCAAATTATAATCATTGAACTTTATTGATCTCAAAATGGAGAAATTGACCTCTGCATTCAACCCCATCCCCTTGTGGAGCAGTGGCGCCCGGGGAGCAATGTGGGGTTAAGGGTCTTGCTCAGGGACCCAGATTGCAGGCTTTGCGGATCTAACTGGGTGCTTTTAACCTTCTCAGAGTGCAACCGCACTGCTCTAACCACAAGGTCAACAATCCCCAATTTATCATATTTTAAGAATATGATATGATATGATAATTCCATTGGCAATTAATATTATTTACCTACTCAAATTAAGGGTAAATCACTTAATTTTAGATCATTTTTGCAGTGTAGCACAGAAGTTCGGCAGTTTAGGTCAACAAATGTTATTCAGTCTATGCACAATCTACAACTGCCTCATCACAGGACCCAATAATACATTTTCAACAATATGATCAGACTTCACTAACCCTTTCTCCTATAGGAGGAAACTAAAAGTGTTTCTCAAACCTGATCACCACTCTGCTGCAGCACACCTGATTCAAATAATTGCATGACCGCCTTAGCAGCCTTCAAGTGCTGCAGAAGCACTCAAACATAGAAATGTATAAGTCAGGTGTGTGACAGTGAGGAGAAATCTAAAACATGCAGGGCAGTGGTACTTGAGGACCATGATTGAGAACCACTGAACTATATTGATTTTAGTAGTACAAGTAAACGACTTTAAACCAATTAAGAAGGTTTAGACTAGGAATAGAATTAGCTCTTTAACTGCTAAAGAGCTGGCTGTGTTTGCCATTTAAATTTTGACCTTTGACTCTTTGAGAAACTGTCATAAAGTCGCAATGAAACCCATTGTCCAGAGAGGTTGACAAATTACCTGAACAGCGGACTTCAACAACACTCCCAGTATCTAGAGAACTACTTTAGGAATATGTTTTGTTCAGTTTATGTTTTTAGAATTTGTAGAGTTTTCCCACATAACGAATTCTTATGCACTGTCTAGTATTTACTTCCTTGTTTTAATTAGGGATTGACCTGCTACAAACTCAGACGTTTGCTCTGAGTTGCATTTTAAACTATATACCCCTTATCAATCTTCTCACAGTAGTTTGCTGAAACGTTCCAAAATAGGTCATCTTTGTATCCCACCTTGTTGACACAAATTCTCCTATTTTGAAAAGTGCACCACTCCATCCTCTAGCAACACAAGATTCTCAAAAAAATAATGTTGCAACTGATACCATTCAGCTCCTTGTTTGTAGAAACCAAAGAACTGCATAAGGTTCAGAATAATAATCTGTACTTTTATCAAAGCTAGAGTAAAAGCTCTGTTTGCTTTGAAGATCTCAGCAAATTGATTTTATAGAGCACACAAGGTACATTAAGTAAGTTTGCAGGGTTTGATCTGAATATGGCTAGAACAGTCAATGTTTGCGCTCCTTCGTGTTATCCTTTGTGAGTTTCTCCATTTCTAAATGATTTTCAGATAAAGGAGTTTGTTTACCTCCTATGATGTAGATCTTTTCCTCAATCACAGCAGCGGGAGCACATACGTTTTTCACAGTTCTTGTCTCCAATCTGGACCATAAGTTGCGAGAGATGTGATAGACCTGACCCACAACAAAAATGTTGACAAGCAGTCTAATTTTGAGTCATTAGTAAAGACTTCTCAGAGAGGTGTGCCTTACCTGAATAAGCCGGACAGGGTTTTGCATGGCATCCTCCCCTCCAAACACATAGATCCTCTGATCACTAGCTGCAACAGCTGGATGAAGCACTGCAGTGGGCATCGGCGCCATGGCCTCCCATTGATTAAACATGCTGTTATACCTCTCAACTGACTGAGAAATTCGCTTGTCTATCCCAATACCTCCCAGTACAAAGATGAAGTGCAGATATGACACGCTTTGGTGGGCATATCGGGGCTCCAGCATGGGTTCCGCAGTCCGCCACTGGTTCGTTTTAAGGGACAGTGTGTAAACTGTGGCACTGACTGAGCTGTCCCCAGAAGCCATGCAGAGACTGAGGCCTCCCAGCACATAAAGGATGCTGTGGATGCACACATATGCTGCTTTGTAGAGACGTAGCGGCAGCTTGGCCAACCACTGCCAACGATGAGTCCTTTCGTCGTACAGAAGCGCCTCTCGAGAAGTCTGCTCGTTGTTTTTGCGTCCTCCAACTACCACCAGAGTTTCCCTACATGTGTACCTTCTTGGTGTGGTCCACAGGGGTTTTAGCTCACGGCTGCACTTGGTGCTAGCTGTGAGCATAAGACGGCGTACTGAGTCGATAATCTCGGTGCAAAGCGTAGACGACTGCACCAGTGGGTCGTTGGCAATGAACTGGAAGAGGTATGTTGGATGGATGTAGCGCAGACGAACCTTCTTGAAGAGATCGTGGATGGCACCTCTTCTTGAAAATGGGTCATGGTGGATCCATGCCAGGAGAGTCTCAAACACCTGCTCCTCTTCAGCACAAAGGCGGTCATCCTCCAGGTAGCACATGAGCTCAGGAAGAGACAACTCACAGAAGTCCTCTGTGGCAGCAACATCAGAGAAACACCTCACAGCCATCTCCTTTGCCTTCTCCTTCAGACTCTCACAGTGGAGGATCTCAGACAACCGAATCATGCTCAGACAGTTCTCAGGGCTAAGCTGCTCCTGCAGGAACATGGAGCAAGCCTCAAAAAGACCCCCATAGTGAAGCATTGATGCCGCCTGCATGAGGGGAAGCACATTCTCCATGGTGATAGTGACACAGCCTGTGTAAACATAGTCCACAATGCCAGTGAGCACGCTTGAAGAGATTCCCTTTAGGTTCACGCGGGCCTGGCTGCTCTCCAGAAAGTTGTTGCAGAACATGGCACGGAAGTAGGGGCTGCTAGAGACCAGGACATTCCTGTGGCAAGGGATCTCCTGGTGCTCAGTGCAGAGAAGCACGTCGGTCAGGATGCGCTCCTGCCGTAAGATGTTGAGCTGGACGAGTAGGTGGCAGGGAAGTTCTGAGTCTTTGAAAGAAAAAACGTCTGATTGTCTTCCAGCCATCCTGTTGATAAAGGAGGAAAGGAACACAATTCTTTTTAAATGAGAGAATACACACTGCAATGCATGTTAGTGCAACAAATCTAAAAAACTTAATAAATATTCAGTTTAGCTCATTTATAGCTTTCTCAGTGTGGGTAACCATTTGTAAATTCCATTGTAAAATAACCTCTTTCATTTTATGTAAATTGCGTATGATGTATTTTATTATTCCTTGACTTCTTTTTATTTAATCTGGCTTATTGGTATAAACACAGTCATCATGTTTTTTGTTTATTTTCCCAATCAACTGACATACATAAAAACAAAATAGGAACAACGACAAAAACAAAACAAAACAAAAATATAGAAAATAAAAGCAAGGTACTAATAGCTTTACTACTACTGTTGATTTTAGAAATGCCATTATCACTGCAGGAATTTTATTTGCCATGTTTGTTAGTAAGTTAAAAGCAAGATTTTTTTATGTTTTATTTTTCATTTTTTGGATCATGGTCCTGCATGACAAATAGAATGTAGGACTTTCTGCTCCCCTTATCACAGCTAATAATGTTAAACTGATGTTTTATGGTTTATTATTTATTATTAAGAAACACAGTGTGGCAGGAGAGAAAAGATTGAATACAATTCATAATTCAGGCAGCAGTTCATAAAAAGTTACAGTTTTCTGTTTGAAATGACTGTTTCTATAAAACATGAACAAAAACAGAGCATAGATTAGGAATTAAGTCGGTGTCCTGCAAGTTTTTACCTCTGTTACCATCCTCCGCCTCATACATGTCAGCAATATACAATACAATTACTTTCCAGTGTTATTCGATCAAAGTTCTTAATGTTAAACCTCTAATAGCAGAAATGTACAGAAGTCTAGGGACAGGGCCCCTTTCTTTTTAAAAGTTTTTTTTAACTTGAAGCCCATGTTTTAATTTGCATACTCCGTTGTCTTTCCCATTTTGAAAACAGTGGCTCAAAAGGCTCAGTTATAGTTACGCTTCAGTGTTTTGCACGAGACACTTCTATGAACCTGAAAAAACACTGCAGGCACATATATGTGATGCCGATGCTGGTGCAGTATTTACTAAAAAACAAAAGTGGCAATAAACTACAAGGTCAGTGTAAATGTGACACGCCGAAAATAGTCGGATGCAGTAAAAATGAACTACTGTGTTTTCATGGCTGCTCGTACTACAAACTCTAGCTGCTAGTCTCACCAATTCTAATGCAGTTAAAAAAAAGTTGTTGCACTAATCCAACCATTATATGTGGCAGTTTATTTTTAAACGGGTTTGTTAACCAGGGCTGCATTAAAATGGGAAGACAGAGAGAGTACAAGGTGTTTTTTTATTTTATAGAAATCAAGAGTATGTTATGTCTGCATGTGGGGCTACATTGCACATTATTCGGCCTCAGAATTAAGAAGATTTCATGCTTTTATTTAGGAATGGGTCAGCAGGAGGTGTGGCTATGCAGGCCACTACTTATGAAAGAACTTAGGATGATCATAACCAATAAATATTGCAGTAAGAAATTTAAAAAAGGAGCTATTCATTCAGTAAAAATTTAATTAAGCTTCCCTAACCATAACATAATATGTTATATATGCCCCATATTCCAACTTAAAATTTCAGCTGTTTAAAAATAAAGCATTTATACTTTTTCTATCTTTTTTAAAAACTGCCTTTATTTTTACCAATCTATGTTGATGTATTGGATGTTTAGAGCAATTTAATTAATGGCTATTTCCCAATATCACCCATATCTTAAATCCTGTACTGCAAACACTAACTCTGGTGATCTGGTTTTATTGGAAAGCAAGTAACTCATACAGAGCACCTGTCCTTAATGTGAATCACTGACTCTCTAATTTTCTATTTTAAAGCCCATCCTTATACACCCGTCCACCATTAGGCCACATCTGTCATCAGGCTGCCTATCACTGCTAACATTAAAAGGACTGTGTCAACAGACCATCTGTTTTTGCCTCTCCCTCACTCTGAATCTCTCCCTCAGGACACATTTCACCCCCTGTAAACTCTGCTGCTATTTTCAACATGTTATCTTTTGTTTTCTACAATATGGCTGCTCCCAAGGGCCAGAATCTGACCCTCACCAGGGGATTTTATCTGTGGTGATCAAGTATAAAATTCACTAAATGATTAGCTGCAATTTATCTGCAAAGGAATAATCATTTACAGGAGCCAACACTTTTAGATGCCAAATCATTAGTGTGTGTTATTGTATGACCTGCTGACGTCTCAGGGCTTTTATTTTAACCTAGATCTAATAGTGACGTGTCTTCCTTTGAGCAGTCTCTAAATAATTAAATCAAATAGTTACATCCTACATTTATTTTTCAGCTCTACTTTTGAATATTTTCCTGAAAACAGTTGTTCATGCTTTTTGTATTAGAAAATTGATTGCTCTACCTTGGTCACATTGTGGCTCTACCTTTCTTATACCTCATCCAAAATTCTTATCCATGTTGTTATCCTGAGCTATTTTCTGCATTTGTGTTGCTATAGGCTTAGACAGCTGGAGGACGTAGGGACCCCTTTTCATCCATCTCTATTCTCCCATTCTGCTGTATTTGTAAGTTCAATCTCTAACGTTATACTCTCTCTGCTTTTTCTCATCATACTAGCTATATTTGGTCTGTTCCTGTCCTGTTTTTCAGTGTAGTCCTGTTTCTCTGATTCTGACTAACTGTATGTGCTCTCCTTCATCCTCTGACATGGGAGCTAGCTCGGAGCTCATCTGCATGGCTGTGTGTTTCCTGGACAGGGCGGCCTGTGGAGCTTATTGATAATTGCCTTTTTTTTATCTCTGCTTTTTGTCAATTTCTGTTTCCTCAAATCCCTGTAATTAACTCAGAATGCAGGATCCAGAATTCAGGCGAGACAGACAGTGGAATACTAAAAAAGCATTTATTTTACGACATGCGGATTTGCAGCGGCTAGGTTAACCAGGGCTCTATCACAGGAATGACTGGTGTGACAGTTCAGTCCTGTGCCCAAAGAACGGGGATGGTTCCAGCCGGTCGGCTGAACAGAAGCAGCGGCCGCTGTCAGCGGAGGAATGCAGACAGGATAATCAAAAGAGCAAAGTCAAGAGGCAGGACCGAAGGAAGGAAGGCAAACTAATAAGACAGGGGCAGCCAGGATCAAAGGTGTAAAGGCAGAAACAGATCAGGATCATACAATCAGAACACTAAAGTAACACTAAAGCACTCTCTTCCCAAAAGGCTTAAGAATTATATGGCGCCAATAGCTGAGAAACAGGCAGCTTAAATAGGAAAGCAGAACAGGTGGATCTGATGAGAGTAGAGGAAAAGGGCAGAGCAAGACAGGTGAAAGGAATGAGGAATCAAGCCAGCAAACTGAGCCTGGTTCTGCTGGAGGTTTCTTTCTGTTAAATGGGAGTTTTCCTCTCCACTGTCTCTACAAGCATGCTTTTTTGTATGAGGGATTGCTTTCAAGTCAATGAGTCGATACACTCAGATGGCTTTCCTTAGATAGAGAACTTTAAACCAATCTGGCTGAATGATCTGGTTATATAGTCTCTGTAAAGTGCCTTGAGATAACATGTATTGAGAATTTGCGCTATATTAATAAACTGAATTAAAATTGAATTGAAAATGGCAAACGTTATCCTACAGCATAGAATAGAATAGATTTGGTTTATAAACATCCCATGCAATTGGTTAAACATCCTTACAAAATGACATTATAAGCTTCATAAAGCCACATTATATAGGTAAGATTTAACTGGAATCTATATAACTGAATTTAAATCTATCCACATTATTGGACTTAAGTTACACATTTCATTTCCCTATTAAGCTAAAAGTCCACAGCTCACAATAAAGAGGAGGTCTGATACTAAAACAAAGAGAAACAGGAACACTATTTTGATATTTGGTTGCAGTGACTGTTTTTGTTTGCATAGTTTGCTTTGCTTTGTATTACACATAAACATACCTATGAAGCATTTGCAAAGAGATTTTTTGTTTCCACCTCAAGCATCACCTAGTTCTGAATCCAAAGTCAGAATCAGTCAACAAACCAACAACCTTCCAGTGTTGATGACCTTTGGGTCTGAATAACAGCTGTTGTGCCAAGGTTTCCACATTATCCAAGCTGAGAGAAGGAACACAGGAAGCTACACAACAACAGTAGAGAGATATACTCAGGTTTGTAAGTGACTCAACAGCCTGATTTTGGAGCATAAAATAGGCACACTCTTTTTGCTGTTGTTTCCCTTGGCTCCAGCCTGATAAAGCAAATTGGTAATGACTCTTAAGGCAAATCAAAAGTCCTGTCTGAGTATTTTTTGCAGCAAGGAAAGAGGTGGGAAAATGTCCCTGTGTGCTTCTTATCATGGTTCCTTTTGCATAGGGACCTTGTGACATACCTATCTGACACTAATGAGCTAAAGGGAATACTAATCCTTTGTTTGACAGGACTTATAATTACAGCCCACTGTATGGAAATTAACAATAATACATTTTTTAAAAGTGGTGAAGGGATAAAAATTAGGGGGCTACAATTTGCTTGATTTGTTTTGAGTCCTAGTGTTCTGGTACAGGAGACTGGCGGGCCATAAGCTGGTTTGGTCCCCCTTGATGAAACTTTTATTATGCATTAGCAACCCTTGTTAGCTATGGTGCCATTCTATAGAATTAGAGTTGACATCTTTGCTTTGCTGCTCATGCTGTTTGTGGGAATTTTATTGAAATTAACTGAAATTTGCAACAATTATTTGATTGCATTTATTAAAAGCTCTCGTGTGGCTTTCCTGTGTAGTCCCTGTTTAAATAGTAATAATAATTAGAAGTTAGAATTAGTGAAATTAAATATCTAAAACAAGTATAGATCCCCCTTGCCTTTTTATATTTTTGTTAAAGATTATTCAACAGACACCCCAATATTTATCCTTCTTTTTTTTAAGGATAATGACACTGATTATGATAATTATTTATGTTGATAAAAGTGTTTTAAGAGATATTTTCAACTTCTATACCCACAAAGGCAAATATAGAGATATTGGTATCCTTCCAGTCTAGTTAGCTCCACTGAATAATGAAAAATAAAAGACAGCTTTCTAAACAAATGAGAAAATATAGTGTTCAGATGACTAGCATTGCATTATAAGGCAAAAACAGATGACTATTTAGTTAGTAAGTTCTGTTAGCTGAGCGTTTTCTTATTCACTCCAGTTAAATTTATGTTGCCATGGATCCTTACCTTCTGTCCTCAGGCAGCCAACAATATCTGAAGAATATTATCAGTCTGGCATGAATTGAAAATTGAAAAAAGATTTATAAAATAATCCAGGAAGGTGTCAGGAAAAGACCATGACACAGAGAAGTGACAAGTTTTCCAGTTGGGTGCTGTAGAGAGTGCCATGAGGCCACTGTGTACATTCTTTCATCTAAGAATAGCATGGTGGCCCACCGTGACTCCAACAGGCCTCTCATGTGACAGAGTTGTTTTGCACTGCTGGGGTCCAGCAGAGGGAGTGAATGTGAACGTGGGATCCCAGGGTTTTTTAATCGGTCAGTCATGAGGCATGCCCACTCTTGATGGTGCTAAATTAAAGAGCTCCTGAGCCATTAACCTTTGTCAGTCCTCAAGGTGTGTTTGAACATTTTCTTTTCTAATTCCCTGATATGCCCACTCCTCTACTGGGGCAAATATAGATCAGAGCTGAATAAGATGAATAGCCATAAGTACAAGGCTGTTTCATCTTTGGTCCAAACCCGTTAAAACACTTATTGTAATGTTGGAGTGTTGGGAGGATGTAAAATCTAAGTATTTTAGTATGTCAGTAGAGTTTTGTGTCTATTTCCCTTAATTGTATAGTTAAGAGAAATAGACACAAATTAATGTTTGCTTATTCTATTCAGTTTTTTGGACTTGGAGTAAGTGACATACATTTACTTTGAAGGAAATTATAAATATCATTAATCACATAAGAATGAATAGATTGTATATCTATATCTTTCTCCCTCTCTTCATATATATTTATATATGAATATGTAAATAAAGTCATATCTAAAATATGAATTCTTATCTCAGTTTGGACAAATATGTTGCAGCTTCCTGCACTAGAGCAGCTTGTTGCAGGGTAGCCGAATGAATTATTGTCGTGTTTGTTTAGCCTCATATGACAAGGATCTGGGGTTTCATGTCGGCAGATAAAATAACATAGCTTGAAGAAAGTGGGCTGTCAGCACGTCAAGACATAAGAGCATGTGGTGCTTTGCAGAACTTTGTCACTGAGAGAAACCTCACACTGATGCCAGTTACTAAGTTACAGCTTCATTCCTGCAGATTAATGTGTTACTTGGAAACGTGTTAAAGGTAATATTGGTATGCTTTTTCTGAAATACTAATTCTCCCTTTCTCCCAACCTGCTGCGTTCTTGCGACTCGATAATGTTGGACTATAGAGTTGAGTGATTTAAACAGACGAGTGTGTAGATTAAAATAATAACAATATATATATATATATATATATATATATATAGTTTTATCTGGTTATTTTTGTATGTGAAGAAATAAAAATGTTTGATAAAGCAGTTTCTACAAGAGAAGACTTATTTTGCACAACATGAGCAAAAGACGGTCGACCTTCTCTTTCTATAACACTTAGCAAAGATATAACAGTAGTACTCTTGGTTATGGACTTAATTTTCATCCATTTAAACATACTTTTAGTAGGTTTATCTGAGATTAATGATCTCCCTTTGTATTTCCAAGATAAAATAGGCAGTTTTTTGTAAAGAAAAAATATTTTCAAACATTACCGGTACTTGTGGAAAAAAAATTCTATATATATATATTTTTTTTTTACATTTTGCTTGCAATGAAATAGAAAAAAATATGTTTTATTTTTATTTTGCTGACTGCCATTTGACACATTCTTATCCTACTGAAAGAAAACTATCCTTAGATGGCAGGGGCGACAATATTTTATTTAAATGTCTTGGTATTTAAAGGAGTTACTTTTGCACTGAGCTTTAACAGAGAAAATAGAATATATAAACCCTTCATTGTCACACAGTGGGGAAATTAAGGAATTAACAATGTTTTCTATTCCCAAAGCATCATATATCCTTAAACATTTTTTTCTCTAATTCATCCTTTGTTTTACACAAAACATACCTGGGGTTTTTGTTGCTAAACAACTTAATCTTTCTATTCTCTAAATAAATCAAAGTGCTTCATTTAGAGTCTAAGATGTATTTACACAAATCAACTTTTCTGATTGTTTTTAGAACAAGCGAAGCAAACTTACGGTAACTACCAGACTCTTGCAGTAAAAGATCCATTAATTAAAAATAAAATGTACGTATCGTTTCATGGCAACTAAAAGACACACAACCATGCAGTCATGCAAACCTAACAGTCGTGTTTTTGGACTGTGGGAGGAAGCCAGAATAGAGAACTCATGCATGCACGGGGGGAACATGCAAGCTCCATGCAGAAAGATTGTGAATAGTGAATCAAATCCAGGACCTTCTTGCTCCAAGGCAACAATGTTACAAACTGTGTGCCACCATGCAGCCTGTTAATGTATAGCATAAGAAATCGATTCAGTGTTACACAGCAAAAACTGATCTAGAAAAGAAGAATTTTTAACAGGCAAATGATTTAAGCCATAAAGGAATGGGCATAATTAGGTTTTAGGCACTTGAAATAAGATAATGAAGTTGTTTATTTCAAACATAATCAACTTATTCCATCGCAATTTGTCCAAGTAAATCATACAAATACAAAAAAAGGGGGGGGGTCTCAGTCACAGACTCTCAGTTCTGCAGTGAATTCATCTTCATCTGTGCAGACAAAATAAAGTCAATTATGGCTCTCATTTCTGTGACAGCACAGTAGCAGATGTGTCAATGTTGCTACAACAGAGAGCTTCGGCAACATTGGGTGTAATTAAGTATCTAAATCTGTAAAATGTTTAAAATAATTTAATTTTGGTTTGCAGAAGATTCTCCATATTATTTAGCAAGACCACCCAGAATGCTTGTATAAAAAATATTCAACCTCAAGGGGTTTATGCCCCTCTGTTTTTTTTTTTTTAATAAACTATTAGAAAATGCTTTATAATACAGAAAGAAGTACAAATTACAGTGAAAAATAGCCAGAGGTTTGAACAAAAAGTGATAAATAAATAAAAAATAACTGAATAAAAATAGCAATAGTAAATAGATGCATGTAAAGGGATTAGGTAAATATTTTAAATTTAAAGCATAAAGATAAAGAGTTTTAACAGCCTTTTTGTTATTGGAGGAGGACAATGTAGAAAAATAAGTTGTTGCTTCCTTTAAAAAAAGAGATACATGAGGGTTTAGTTATAATAATTTTACATTTGTGGATATAAAACTTGGCCAACAGTAGCAAAAGGTTTCATAAAAAGAAATGGTCAGAAAGTTCTTTTTTTTATGCCCCTCTGTTTCGCCCTCGAGGGCCACTCAGCTCAACGTCACGCTTTAACCGGAAGTGACGAACGCCTCTCCGAAAAATACAACAAGGAAGTGATTGGTTTATTGTGAAGGAAATTAACCACCGGATTAAACGTCTCCCCACATCTGGGTTATTTAGTGCTTTACGGTGGGGTGCCAGCAGGGCTGAAGTCACCGTGGACTCGCCCGGGAACCCGCATCAAGTCGCCGCGAAGGACTCCGCTCTTAGCCCGCTCGGTAGCTAGCAATGAACACGGACGTGGAATTTCACATCAGGCAGAATTATCCGTGGAGCAAGCTGCCAGCTAATGTCAAACAGGTAGGGTGGCTTCAAACGTTTCCTTCACGGGAGGAGGGGAGGAAAGGGAAACAGGGCAGGGGCTGTCAATGTCACAGCGGAGCTCAGGGTGTCATTCATGCAGCTGTCAGAGTCTCCTCCTCCGCTAATAACCGACCACCATCCATCTACTGGAGCCTCCAGCCTCTGCTCTGCTGCTCTGAAATCACATGACAGATCGCTTGATACCAGGCGCCACATGATCTTAGCGCATGGAGGGGCCCCACCTGCAGATTTGATACACACACCATCATTTAAAATCTTTTTTAATTTTTCAGCTTTTTTATGCATCCCCCCCCTCCATTGATTCAACCATTTAACCAGCTGACTGCATGCTGCTGCACGCTTTCTAGTGGATCCTCCTTATAGTTTTACCACCATCCTCACAGAGGCGTTGCCAGAATTTTTTAATTGAGTGAATTTAAGTGTGGCCAATTCATACTGAGAGGTGGCTGAAAGCAGATAGGCAGCAGAACCTCAGGGTCAGTACACACCAGGGGTGTCAAAAATACACACATTTGTTACTTAAGTAGAAGTATAGATACTGCAGTTTAAAAACACTCTGGTAAAAGTTTAAGTATTCACGTGACCTCTTTACTCAAGTAAAAGTGAAAAAGTACGAGCTCCAAAAACGACTTAAAGTATAAACCTGTAAAGTAACCTTTAAAAAAAACAGCCAGATGCCACTATATGGGTTCACACTGCAGTCCTTGATGCTCAATTCCGATTTTTTTGTAAAATCCGGGTTTTTTTTTGCGTTGCCATTCATATTTCCAAATATATGCGACTTATATGTGGTCTCCTGTGTGAACTGCAGTCATACAATGCAAGTGTCCTGCATGGGCAGTAGAGGACGCAATGACGTCACAGGTCAGTGTGCTCCATGTTTACAGAAGTGTAGTGCCGGCGCGCATCTAGCAATCTTTTCCAACCATAAAAACACAATCTTTTCAATATATTTAAACATAAATACTGCTCTCTGCATCATCATCTGCCATGGTTGTTGTTTTTCTTGCCGCTTCTGCGTAGCAAGACACAGAATAGTGACCTTTGTCGAGTATTAATGACGTTCAGGTCGGATGAATGTGATCTGGCGGTTCAGACACAGGTCGCATTTTAAAAGATCAGCTTCGTATCAGATTCAGGACCACATAGCCAAGTGACCTGGGTCGGATTTGAAAAAGTCGGATCTGTGTTGTTCAGACTGCAATGAAAAGATCGGATCCAGGTCGCATGTGGGCAAAAAAATCGGATTTAGGTCGCTTCAGGCTGCAGTGTGAACGTAGCCTTTGAATTGAAAGCTCAATTTTTCGACTATTTCGAAAAATTCTTTGAGATAGGGCCACGCTCTCGCCTGTGTCCGACCTTTCAGACATTTCAACATCTTTTTCTGAATCCGACATTTCCAGCATGACATAGACAATTCATATTTGCAGTTTGAAGAACACCTGCTTGCTTCTGATGATTTCCTTTAGCTAACCAATGAGTGTTTGCGTTATATGACTCATCTAATTACACTAGTTTCCACTAGATGTGGATGGCGCCAATGGTCTGCATTGGATGGAGCACATGATGTGGAATAAATGTGTATAAACATTACACTATAGCCAAGAGTAACGAGTAACGTTTTTTTTTACAAATGTAAGGAATAGAAAGTACAGATACTTGTATGAAAATGTAATGAGTAGAAATCAAAAGTAAAAGAAAAAGTAAAAAATGGAGTAAAATATAGATATCTAAAAAGTGTACTTAAGTACAGTAGCAAAGTATTTGTATTTTTTTTCTTGACACCTCTGATCTACACTGTTCCAACAGAAAAATTAATGAGCAAAACATCCATATTTTCTAAATAAAGACTAACTATACTTTCCTACAGCCTTTGTTAACAAATAGATGCATATATTTAAACATCCGTAATTTCCAGATAAAATGTACTAAATTTTGAATTCTGGGGCGTAAATCTTTTCCATTGTCATTACTTACCTACTTGTTTCAATAAACATTCTACATAAAATTTATATTTACAAGCACTAATATCAACATAAATTGATTATTTGATAAGTTTTTATTAAAATTGTTATTTCTCTATGATTTCACTGAAGGCTCCTAGATGACTTGCAGAGACACATCATTTCCTCTTTACCCCATATAACACAAAATCTATTTCTGAAAAGAGCATGAATTCTTTACTTATCATCTTTATTGTTAGTATATTGATGTGTATAATTAACCACAAAAAAATTAAAATGTTTTTAATATTTCACTTGAGAGTATTACTGCTGCCCCCATCTGTGTTAGAAGGAAAAAATGGCAGGGGTGGCCAATGATTGGCTAAGGGTGGCCGTGGCCACCCCTGGGCCACCATCTAGCTCCGCCCCTGCATCCTCATACAGTTCTGAGGCTTTTGCATCAGACCACAAATTTAATTAATCTAATTAACATTTAGTTTGACATAGCAATCTGAAGGATCGTATGGATGTGAAGTGGAACAAAAAAATTTAACGATAAGTCAAATCTTTAAAAACTTTGCTTTGTTTGTTTTAAACCAACTGGGTTAGGTCTCCCCCAGGTTTGCATGTATGTATTGACTGAAATGTTGTACCTCTACTTTTTCGAAATAACTCACGCTTTATCCGACTGGATGGAAAGCCACTGGGAGAGTCTTTGTCCTCCTCGATTGTGAACCTCAAGTATTTGGCAAACCTAACAGGTTTTCTGTATGTAATGACATAAGTCTCCTTAGCTCTCCTGTCTGCTGAAGAAAAGCATCCCCACATCATGATACTGCCACCATGTACCACTTTAGGATGTTTTGAAATATGTCTAATTACTTTTATTTGTTTTTAACTCACAGTATCTTCCACACAAGCCAAATAACATAAAAGTTTAAATCTAAGTCTGTTCAGCTTCCAAAAGAAACAATGCATTTTATCACAATGTTTTATCACTAATCAGATGCCAACTTCAGTGTCAAGATTTGGGGAAACTATAAAAAAAAGAAAAACTAGATGCATCTCAAAGGTGAAAATTATTTCATTTTGAAAATGTTAGTTGGGAAAAATATGGCTATTTGAAATAGTTCAATTTGCAGGAATTTTTTATTTTGTCCTGCAATCTCACTGCATCCCAAATGAGTAAAATACAAGCAAATACATCTGAAAGATTATCTCTTAATTTGTAGTGTGGAATAGTACAACATATGAATAATCAATTGTTTGATAAGCCTTGATTAAATAGCTTTTTATCACTTGTTACATTATGAATTAATACTGGAGACATTGAAACTATAAATCAGTAAATGGTAAATGGTAAATGGCATGTACTTATATAGCGCCTTTATTCAAGTTAGGAGACCTGACCAAAGCGCTTTACACTACATTCATTCACCCATATCCATTTTATAGAATACAGGATGTATGTATGGATTGACTGCAAAAAAAGAATAAAAAAAAAGGAACTCAGATTGCAGCGATTTTGTTTGATAAATTTAAATTTGTGTAAATCTTTGTCCAAAAAAAAAAGACACAGATCACTTTTAAAATAGAGATAGAATTCATAACCTAGTGAAATTATACAAAATTTACATCATCACTGCAAATTTTTTGCAAAATTTTAATTCTTATTACGCTGACACGTTAACCAGGAAGGATATTTCTACATTTCTTTGTATGAAATGACATCATGATGACTTTTACCCCAGGAAATAGGTTAGCAAAACAGGAAAACTGTTCACATTGCACAACTGGCTGGACAGAAAACGTTCCAATGGGGCGTCCATGTTTATTCCTGCTGCCTCTACAAATAAGCCGATCCTGCCTTGATCCTTACAGGTTGGTTTCTGTTCTGTTTTGCAGAGTTTGGGCAACTCGCAGCGCGAATACGAGAAGCATGTGCTGCTGTACAGCATCCGCAACCAGCTGCGATTCCGCAATAACCTAGGTGAGCACTTCCGTCCACCACACCGGTGCAGAACACAAATGCATCAGGAAAGTCATTACAGCACAGTAGCAATCGATAGTCATGGTGAAATGTTTAAGAATGACTCATCATTTATGCTGCATTTGATTAAGGTGAAAGTAGGGTTTGTGTTCTTTTGGTGTTCTAAGATAAGTTTGTGCCCTTTTAGCCTGAATTAATGAGCTATTGATCGAGAGTAAACTTCTCTCTGGCTGTGACCTCACTGCTCTCAGTTTGTGTGTTTTTTTTATTTTTATGGAGCAGTCCGCCACGTCAGGAAGGACGAGCGCAGGTACTATGAGGAGCTGCTAAAATACAGCAGGGACCACCTGATGCTGTACCCCTACCACCTGTCTGACATCATGGTCAAAGGGCTGCGAGTCACTCCGTTCTCATACTACATAGGAATCATGGAGGTGAGGAACTCCTGATGAAGGGCAGCCTGCAACAGGTTTATCTTTTGTTAGGGAAATATAAGCATGAAAAAGTTTTGCTGGTCTGTAAGCAGCTTTTAAAACACCACATACATCTATTGTTTAGCTGTTACTCTCAAGTAAACTGGCTGGATTCATTTTGAGGAAGAGAGCAAAAAAATCACAGAGATGATTTTCTTAATGTTTTTCAAACCTCCAGCTTTTGCTCATTTAAACTGAACAATATTTTTAATGCTGGAATTTGTCGGCAGCTCTGGGCTATTATTAATCACTAACAAATAAGCGTGATGATGTGTTTTGGCAAACAGAAACGGATCTTACATTATTTCTTCAGGGGAATGTTATGCATACATATTTATAGAGTAACAATTGCTGAACCTGTGACTTATGTTAAACTATGCAACCCAGTGCCAGAGGGAGCAAAGTAGGCTCAACGTTTGTTAAAATGAGCCATCATGAACTCATAAATCACTCATAAATTAAAAGAAAATCATATTTATCCTTTTTTTTTTAAACATGAACCAATGATATCTAAACTTTCTGAAAAAATCTCTTGATTTCACCAGCTTACGGCCAACAAGGCAGATATTTGAGGTTTATTTTTTTTATTTTTTGTCTTAGATTTATTTTGGTGAATATTACAATCAAATATAGAGACCAAATTATAAAAGATAAAAACATATTTTAACATGTTTTTTTTCTAAATCTTCCTTTTTAAATTGTTGTTGCCTATCTGTTACTTACAGTGGTAATAATTTGTAGCCATAGACGGATCTATTTGGCAGCAAAATTAACCAATGAGCAAAACTCTCTAGTTTGCAGGATAACGTAGGATATTTTGAATTATTATAGATATATAACTGCATCAGTCAGACACTAGATGTCAGTCAGTGATCAGAAAAGCACAGTACAGAATCAGCAAACCACAGATGTGAGTATGTGTTAATGTAAGCCATTGCACTGTAGATCTGGCTGCATTGGGTTGTACCTCCTCAAATCTTCTTTAGCCTCTAAAAGGGTTTTTTATTCAGGATTTTCCTTTAGTTAGATCGTAGATCATCTATAACTCTTGAACATCAACATCCTCACAGTATGATGCTTCCATCACCATGTGTCTCTGTGAACCTGCAATGGTTGTATTTTTGTTCACATATAGTTGTTTTTCAGGTTGGCAAAGTGGTGGTTGTTTATTTTTTGCCTTGTCTTTTCCTTTCCCACACAATTCTTTTATATTCCTCTAAATCGTCCGAAGATTTAAAAAGTTCAAGGGACATTAATAATTTTGGAAGACAGTGTAGCAGCTCAGGGGCATACAGATACTAGACCCTAGGAGAAATACTTCCAGGAAAAATCAATGATGCCGTCTCTGCATTCAGCTTAGACTTTGTCTGCTGGACGCCTCACACCAGTTAATGAAGTGCCGGATATTGACTGCAGTTTACAAAGAGAAGCTTTCAGGCCTGTAGGAGGACAGTTTCCACAGATGTACTTTGTTTTATTTTGTTTTATTTTTGGGGGGGCTGCTTTTATAATAGAATATGTGGCTCAAGGAAGTTTGGTCATCCTGGCTATTGCTACTAATGTTATAAAACCCACAGCTCATTTAGGAAAAACAAGACAAACTCATCTTTGACATTTATTAAGATTCACCCCACGTGTTCTATGAGAGAAAAAAAAAGCCAAAGTATTATTGGGTAATAATTACTGCCATCTAGCGGGGAAATGCTGGTATTTCACTCAAACAAAGACTATACTCTAGCCCATGTATCCTTTAAGTCGGTCCTTGACGGCTGCTGTCCTGCAGGTTTTAGAGGTTTCCCTGCTTTAGCACAGTTGATTATGATGATTGCAGTTGAGCAAAAGCCTGTTAATCATCTTTCAATTAAAATCAGCTGTGCTGGAGCAAGGAAACCTCTAAAACCTGCAGGACAGCGGGCCTTTGGCTGCGTATTGTGCGTATTGAATAACAACACACACAAGGCATTGAAATGATTGTTTACATGGTTTTGGTAGCTGCAGTTGTAACGAGGAAGGCGGACTAAAAGTTTCTACAAGCTGGCATTTACTGTGACAAAATCCAGAGTTCACTGCGGATTTGAAAGCTACTAAACCCACGTAAATCTAAAATTCTGTACCAACAAGATTGGTATATTTACAGGATCTACTGTTATGCTTTCTATGATAACAAGCTGCTGTTTAACTAAACTAAATGGCCTTATGCTGATCTAGGAGGTACAGTTCACTTTCTTGTCTCGGAGAAACATGGTAACTTCAGGGTCCATCTTAAGATCTTTCTCCTTCATTAGCTCCTTTCACATTTTTTCCATATGATCCATGTTTCATCCTCCTTTTTTATTATTTATATCTCCAATCTCGTTGGCTTTTAATTTCTCCTTTTCGCTCTCATTGGGAGGATGAAACCGTTACTGCTGCTGCGGACGCACACTCGTTGTGCTGCAGCAGTGCAGTTGTTGGATTAGCGTCTCCAAATGATCTTCACCATCTCCTCTCAATCACACTGAACTCCCAGCAAAGGGAAATGTGTTGTTGTTCTGCACTATTTTATCCCTCACTGGCATCTGTACTTTCAAGATGGCAGACTGTAATGGCGCTTCACAAATGCTATAACTGTCTTCATAAGGTTATTCTCTTATGAAAATGTATCTGAATATTAGAGGAGGTAATAATACACATATTTAAATGCAGACATCAGTTTAATTTTTCCTTGTTCCCTTTTAAAAATATGACATTTGAAGTATTTGAATATTAGAGTTTTAAATTCCAACATTTCTAACCTCATGCTCCTTCTAGCTGTGCTGCAATTCTAACACTTGCTTGTAAACAAATAGGAAAATGAATTGGCGGTTGGGATATTACAATAGTTGTGTCCTACTCTATAATAATGCATTGCCATGTTTCAGTGGACATCAGCTACCAGAAGCGGTTATTGCTGCTAGTGTATCTGCCAGGTTCTCACTGTAAATTCAGTTTGCAAAAGATTTGTGTTAAACACACATGAAAGAGGAATAGACGGTTTCGAAACCTGCTGCTGAAATGTTCAAATGTGGAACACTGCAGGCATTTAGCTACTTTTCAGGTTAGGTGGATGAACAGGCCAGATCGCCTGCATTCCCACCAACTTTGGATTTTAGTTAGGGAGGCGTGACAAACAGGGTTGCTTTGGTTTTGCTACCTTTATAAATCAGAAAATTGTATTTTCTGATTTATAAAGAATTTTAGCTCTCAGCTCATTTTCCTAGGCCACATCTCTCCTTTGCATAGTAAACTAAACTCCATGGAGCTTTATCAAAGACCACTGAATGGCCCAAAGCTGTGCCACATTGTTAACACGTCTTCAGAACTTAATGAAAACAGGGAGTGGAAATTAGCTCAGCTGCCAAAATCAGAAAATCCTTTTATTAATCAGTAGTTGGTGACGCCCTTAAATTCCTTCCTTTCTTTTCCCCCAATTTTTTTTTTTTTTTTTTTTT